CCGTATTAAAGAACCGCAGCATTAGGGAGGTTGAGAACCACTGCCTTAGACCAACACAAACATTGAAACAGAAAATAGTGACAGAAATAGGCAGATAAACTCTAAAAAAGAAGGCATTTGAGAACAAAGTCTCACCTATAAAACCCTAGACTCTCCCTCATCATTCTCTTTATTTTATTTTGCCCTCTTAACATCCATTTTTCCAAACCTCAAAATGACACAGATAATTTTACTCATTGTGCCTAAAATTACACAATTGCTTCTCTTATTTATACCAGGAGATAAAGGTGAATCTTTTGAAAAAAATCCTATATATAACACAAACCAAAATTCACTGGGTAGATTATAGGAAAAGAAACAAATAACAGAAAGGGAGAGAAGTACAAAGGCAGAGACAAAGGAAGACTAAAATGAGGGGCAGGGGAGAGGGAGAGAGAGGAGGCAGTAAGAGTCAAGGCAGAAGGGAAGAGCCAGCAGCCAGCTGTGATTCTGCCCCATTCACTAGGCTGCCAAACAGCAAGGGACTAAAAGAGCACTCTTTGACAGCTCCAAACTCCACAGCAGCATTAGTCTTAGCTCCAGAATCAGTTAGCATAGAAACCAGGTCCTAACTCTGGGGATAAAATATAGGATGACCTAAGAATAATCTAAGAATGGCTAGGAAAATTCCCCTGAACATTCTAACCTTGAAGCCAAGTCATTTTCTTCACGCAACCACTCAGCCCTCTGAAATCCAATACTTTTTTTCTTCTGTCCTTGAAATAGCTAAGTAATTGGGAATTTTAACAGAGTAAAGGACTACAAAGACAAGACATAGGGTTACTAGAATGACTGGCTAGTTTAGAAATATGCCTAACTAGAAGGAAAAAAAAAAACCATACAGATAGATCTGAATAGAGAGCAAGCAAGGCATAAAAACAAATAGATACATGTGTCTTTAGTTATTTATCCATAACATTTGATTTTGAAAAAGTCAAGAAACTGCCCTTTATTTAATAAGTTCTTGCGCTTAAAGGACACTTCACCTTTGGTTTGAGACACATAGTAATCAAAGTACAGAGTGAATGCTTAAAATATAACCTACACTATTCATCAGTAATCTTAGCTTTTCAATGTCTTTCATCTGCTGGAGTTCTTCCAAAGTTAGGGTTAAGTCACACCCAGCTTCATAAACCAACGTTTCCAGAGTAACCAAATTATCACACAGAACCAGCAAACCAGGGACACTCCGCTCCATTCCAAGACGAATAAGTGACAAGGCACAGTCAACCTAGAATTGAAAAGCAGCAGTAAGTGCAGGCTTTACATATTTCTCATATATTCTAAAGTAAAAACTTCCAGTGTGAAGCCTAATTCTTGTAACCACTTCTTACTGAACTGTATTATCAGTGACATACATTTTTTACTTACTACAAAAACACTGGAGTTCTTTATCAAATATATACGCATCAAACTATATGAAAGGAATCCGACAATCAGCAACAAATACTGAAGACAATAAGAAAAAGACAAGCATTTTGAATTTACAGAGCATTACAGCACAGTTTTACATATATTTCTCTGTTTAATTTCCCAACACTATATTAACAAGCAGAGAAAAACATAACACTGCTAGTAGTGATAATGCCAAATTAATCTCCCTTTTACTGTTACTGTTCTTCTTCCAAAAAGAATGTTTATACCCAAGGTTTTGCTTTTATATTCCTGTTTAGTACCTTTCTTTTCATAGTGCCTCCCATATAAAAGTCATTCAAGAAATATTTTCAGAATAACTAACCCTGGTACAAATACTTTCTTTGTTTCAATTTGAATATTTAGCTTTCATCAGAAAAAAAAAATGTTTTCCTTGTACATACTCAGGAAACAGTCATTTGAATCCTATTTCTGGATCAAGTTTATAAATTAATATATTCTATGACTGATGGAAAAATCATGCATATGTGACCTAAACCCATAATCTCTCACACACTCTCTATACTCTTATTCCCAGACTAGCAATTATTTATTGCGGGCCTACTATGATTTAAGCACCATTCTAGGTATTCAGAATACGAAACTGAATGTAATGAGGTCGCTTCCTTCAAAGAACTCTCAGGCTAGCAGAGACAAAATCCAGTGCACCAGGGACATAGCAGAGTGAGGCAAGTGCTGTGTATGATCAGGATCCCAAGGAAAGTAGTGCTCAGCCCAACCTGAGCATGTCCCAGATGACGGAACATTTAACATGGACTTGAAACACTCAGTGGGCATTAGGTGAAGAGGGAAGATTTGGGAAGGAGAAGGGCACAGAAGGCAGAGATGTAAATGTGCTGTGAAAGTACAATTATTTCCTGTGATGGAAAAGAAGGTGGGCAGTGAAGTGACGGAAAAGATGGCTTCAGTAGAGGGGAGACAGGGATGGGATAAGAGGGTGATGAAGAGCACTGTCTGCCAGGCTAAGGAATGTGCAGGGCTCTCCCCTAATAGCACTACTCTGAAGGATTATCAAGGGAGGCATGGCATAAGGAAATTTACACTTCGGAAAGACGGCTGAGTATCTACAGAATCACGAAGGAAACATCACAGGTGAAGTGGAAGGGGACTAGCTGGAAACCGGCAGTCAGTCAGGAGAGCTGCAGGTCTCTCAGTAGAGGAACTTGGCAGAAATATACTGTTTACCCATTCAGTCACCAATTGGTTCACTCACTTGTTCAGTAAACATTCATTGAACATGTGCTACATCCTAGGCAAAAAATAACAAGGAACTAAACTATGACATATAGGAGGAAGAATATAATAGGTATAACTAAGGAGACAATTTATGAAATGTGGTCAAGTGAGGTGAGGAGTCTGAGGAAGGAGGAGGGGGACCCTAGAAGGACCAGAACCACAGGAGATATACACACAGAAAGGGGGAAAGAGAGGGGGAAGAGAGGATATTTATCCAAGGTAAAACTGTAAAACTTAATTCTGAACTCAACATATTATTGTGGGACTTCTCAGTGCAGACTACCAATAGTGGTCCCAAAACAAAAAAACAGTCTCTGTGCGTGTATTTGGCTGAAGACAGTATCTGAGAATTATCAGCACTTAGATCCTGCAGTAGTATCTAGGGAGGAGGATCCGAATGGGTCAAATTTGTAGACCCTCTGCTAGTGACAGAGCAGCACCTTGGACAGTAACATTTAAGGGACAAGCCAAAGAACACGAGCCACAGGAGGAAACTAAACGGAATAGCTAAGGCAAGACAGGAAATGTTACCAGGAAGCCTGAGAAGACATTTCAGGAAAGAAGTAGCTACTGTGTTTCCCCAAAAATAAGACCTACCCCAAAAATAAGCCCTAGCAGGATTTCATGCATTTGTTAAATATAAGCCCTACCCGAATAATAAGACCTAGTGATGGATAGATTTGCATTTCGGCGTGGAGCAGTAAAGAAGACTGGAATACCTTTTATCTGCCACAGCTCCTTTCTCCAAGCCGTTCGCACTTGTGTAGGTGCACGTGTGGTAATGCGGTCGCAGGCATCCTATTGCACACGTGCGAACGGCTAGAGGAAAGGAGTTCATGCATCACTAGCACCAGTCCCACCAACAAGGTCAGCTCCCCCTGTCAGGTTCCAGAAGAAGATGACTTAACGGTATTTGAACAAATGTGGATTGTTGTGTTATACTTAATAAAAGTAAGACATCCCCCAAAAATAAGCCCTAGTGTGCCTTCTTGAGAAAAAATAAATATAAGACAGTGTCTTATTTTCTGGGAAACACAGTAATAACCAATGTCAAAGGATGACGATGTTAAAAAACAAATGAGGGGAATCTGACACTAAGAGGTGGACTGCTAGTCTTACTGAGTGCGGTTTCAGTAGAGTGGTAAAAGTAGCCAGACTCAGGAAATGAGGAATAAACAAACATTGAGAATGTGATACCAAAAGCACAGTGACCATTTCTGAGCCGAGCTGCTAAAGAAAGAAGCAGCTATGCAGAAGCCAAGGAGGACACGGCTCTAATTTTTTTTTTTGAATTTATAAAATAGAAAGGATTTGGACTTTATGTCCAAAAGGAGAGAGGGGCAGGAGACACAGTAAATAATGAGAGGTAAAAATACAGGAAGAAGAAAACAGATGACTGGTGAAAAGATCCTAAGCACGTGGGAATGTGGAACCCAGGGCACAAGCAGCGACAGAGAGTAGCTCTGAACACCAGAGACCTCTTCCACTGAACAGCCAGGAAGAACAAGTACACAGGGAAGGGAGTTCTCAAATTTTCAAATGAAATACAAAGCAAAATTAGTTTCTGAGGATGACAGGAAAGGTGGGTACAATGAGCAGGGAAAGGCAGGGGGAGCACTTACACAACACCAAGGAAAATGCCAAGCAGTAACAAGGCCTGGCCAAGCCTTTCAAAGCCCTAGGGACTAACAGGTGACAGTGAAGGAAAAAAAGAAAAGGAAATGCATTTTCAGGGGAAAAGAGTGACACAAATAAATACAATTAGGTAAAGAATGAAGCAAAACAGGAGGAATCTGGTGGTGCTTCAGTCGATCAATGTTCTCTAACTCAATGCCTAGTACTAAAAATACAATCTATGTCTGAAAGGATACATCTGCCCTCATGCCAATTTTATTAAAAACTCTATCTCAGATGAATTTTCAGGAAGCATTAAGAAAATTGATGCATAGAACACAACTTTGTACAAGTAATAGTTTGAACACATAGCATATTAGTAATTTGGAATACACTCACCAACTCTGTGATCTAAATTCATCTCTCTAATACCAACTCTGAATTTACTGCCTTCCCAAATACATACTGAAGTAAAAATATTTTTAAAATCAAATTACTGACACTTGAAATGAAAGTAGGGTCTAATGCAACTTACAGAATTACACAACATACCCTAAGCCCTCACCAGATAAAATTTACTGCTATAAATGTTTTCCTAAACCAACAAATAAGTTTTGCTAAAGGCGTTTATAGGCACTAAGGAAAAAGAATTCCCACACCAATTAAATCGCTACAAATGAAAGATAAAACTATGTCAGATATCACTTTGACCATAGCATGAGCCACATAAAATGTCAATACCTAACATAAAGCTTAAAAAAAAAAAGGGTGGGGGGCTAGGCTTAGCGGCAAATTCCTATAATCCCAGCAATTTAAAAGGTCAAAGCAGAACTGCTTGAAGCCATGAGTTTGAAACTAGCCTGAGAACTTAGCAATACCTTGTCTCTACAAGAAATAAAAAAATTAGTCAGGCAGAATGGTGTGTGCCTGTAGTCCCAGCTACGCCACAGGGTGAGGTAGTAGGATTGCTTGAGCCTCTAAGAATGAAGTTGCAGAGAGCTCTGGTAATGCCACTGCATTCTAGCCTGGGTAAAAGAGCAAGATTTTGTCTTAAAATAAATGAATAAATAATAGCCTATAAGAGAAGTGTCTTTAAATAAAGACAGAATATAATTCCACTAAATAAAGTACCCCCAAATCATTTTTCTTTCTTTATAATTATCCTAATTACTCAAAAAGAGAATTCAAGATATCTAGGAATTATTGCTAGACTCTTTAAAAAAAATTAAATTTCAGAAAGTTCTGTGGGGTTTTTTAATAGATTTTTCTTTTAGAGCAGTTTTAGGATCACAACAAAATTGACCAGAAAGTATGAGTTCCCATGTGCCTCCCACCCCACCCCTCCAGCAACACAACCTCCCCCACCATCAACACCCCTCACCAGAGCAGTATACCTGTTAGGCTTCAGGAACCTACACTGACACCTCAATATCACCCAGAGCCCACAGTTAATGGCAGGTTTCACTCTTGGTGCTGTACATTTGTGTTTTGAAAACTGTCTAATGACACATACCTACCATTACGAACGGTATCACGAAGAATGCCGTCCCTGCCCTCCATACCCTAAGTCCTGGTAACCACTGATTTTCTTTTTGTTCACTGTTTCCATAGTTTTGCCTTTTCCAGAATGTCACAGAGTTGGCACTATACAGTATACAGTCTATTCAGGTCAGCCTCCTTCACTTAATAATGTGCGGTTAAGCTTTCAGACCATGTATTTTACGGTTTTAAACCTCATTCCTTTTTAGCACCGAGTAACAGGAATGTGGTCTGAATGTACCACAGTTTATCCATTCACCTGTGTAAGGACATCTTAGTTCATGAGTGGTCACATAAGTATACTCAGAGATGTTAATCATGGGGATAACCTAAGGGTGGGGGAAAGGAGGTTATGGGAACTCTCCTGTACTTTCTTTTTTTTTTTTTAGACTTTAATCTTTATTTACA